TAAGGGAGAGTTCGGGCTCCTCGTAGGGAGTTCGAGCTCTTAGTAGGGAGTTCGAGCTCTTAGTAGGGAGTTCGGGCTCCTCGAGGGGAGTTCGGACTACTGGTTTCTTCCCTTTGGTGTTTGCGCCCTGGGTACACTGCTTTAAGTGCCGAGCTATTTGTTTTTTGCCACGTGGCGTGATTGCGAGGTCGGGCCAAATCTTCCTTCATCAGTTTTTAATGTAAAGTTTTTATCGATGCAAAAGTATATTAATTGCTTTAAATAGTGAACCATTGTAAAGTCAAAAAGATATGTTAGTGCGTGAAAAAATTACATTAATTATCGATATAAAATTTTATCATGAATAGAGTTGATATAAAATTTATATTAAAAATCAATATAAATAAAACCGAATTAGGGTGTAAAGTTTATTCCGGTTCTCATTTACATCCAAAACAAATGTAGCCTTAATAATTTTTCTAAAATGACTCAAGGCCCGTTTGGGAGGGCTGAGGGATTCAATTCAAGCGGGTTCAACTTCTTTGAAGCATTCTGAAATCTGAATAAACTATTCAGATATGCTGTAGAATGGGCTCTTTAAAATATTCAGCAAACACAGCTTATAGGCTGTCCATATCAGCCCTACCTCAAAAAATCAAAAGCCAAAAACAAATGTACTTCAACCCTCTCAAACAAGCCCTAAATTCTAGTTGAACTTTCTAGACAACCCTCGGCCAAGGGTAGAGATGGTAATTTGACCTGTACTCGTGGGGCCCCCACCCCCATGACGCCTTGATTAGGGTGGATTTTTGAACCACTGATCGGGGTTATGGGAAAATCCAAAACTCCGAGGTCGGGGAATGTATTTGTCCACCCCGCCCCAACCCCACCCGATTATATTATATAACATATTATATTATAGTATTATATATATTGCAAAATATAAAATAGTTCTAGGTTGATCTAGAAAAAATAAGTATAGAAGTAAGAACCTGGCCCTACCCCAACCCGTTGCCATTCCTAGCCAAGGCCGTCCCGTTCTTCCTCTACCCCATTATTTTCCCAAAGTATAACTTAGTTTTCAACAATCAACATTTCTTCTCGTGACTTATCGTGACAAAAAAATGCAACTGATGAGTCATGACTCATCAGTTTGTTTGGTCCGACCCATCATCGACCGGTTCAGGTAGAGACAGGAAATTTCAAACAAGCCAGCTCGGCTGTTTCTACTGTTTATCTTCTTGATAAAGCCTTACGTGTTGAGGCGTTGTCAACCTCTCGGATGTTTATCCAACTTTGGACTCTTCACGTTACGGGTCATCCCTACTTGATCCATGATCCGTACAATCGGGTCGGGCAATTGTGTGCGTGGACCCACATTAAAACAGCTTATCGACCATTAACATGAATTACTGGCTGTGGTTTAATTGTTAATTAAGATCACACAATTAATATAATACTGTAATTAGGAACTCGAATAAGCCGTATGTGACGTCGATCCTAGTCAGCAACGTGGAGTCTACGAGGCATACTAATCGCCCACTTGACACGTGGAACTAATACGTGCCCTCGTTGGGGGTGAAGTCGGGTTTATAAAAGCCCGGCTTCTGCGAGGTTCAGGAGGAGTGCCGTGATAAACTCAGCGACTTTCTCTCCGGGAATCCCAGAACCATCCGTCGACATTTCCGTTCCCAAGCTTCTCTTTAAATTGTCGGAATTTCTTCTGTCTCGGCTTTAGGAAACCAAATCCCATTTCATCAGGGCTTGTTTTCCTCTCCGTTCATCCTCTGTATAATTGAAGACTCTTAAGTCTGAACCCACCTGCAGTTGGTTTTCTGTTTTTTGGTTTTTTGGTTTTTGATTCTTCATCGATTGTTTGGTATAGGTTGAGCTTACAATCTTGTTGTATTTGGGCATGTTGGGTGCTATGGGAGGACCTCTGCGTCTTACATCGTTGAATCACATTTCAATTGTATGTAGATCAGTGGAGGAATCTCTGAAATTCTATCAGGATGTTCTTGGGTTCATCCCAGTCAGGCGGCCTGAATCTCTGAAATTTGAGGGAGCCTGGTAAATTTTAGACAGACCCAATTTGGAAAATTTTAATTAAATTGGATTAAAAAGAAGCAGTCTTTAATTTGTCATTCCTGTTTGGATTTTCTTAAATGAATAGGCTATTCGGTTATGGTATTGGCATCCATCTTCTGCAATCGGAGAACCCAGAAGGCATGCCGAGGAAATCAGAGATTAATCCCAAAGATAATCATATTTCTTTCCAGGTACTTCTTTGATTTCTTTATCTGTTTCAAAATTCTAAAATGAAAATTCAAAAAAACATTTTGATTTTCTCTCTCTCTTGTCTGTTTCAAAGCCAGAAACCCTGGTGCTTGCTCTGTAGCGGCAGAGGTTCTGGATAACCCATCAATAATGGTTGAATCTGAACTCAGAAAGGCCCTGAAAATAAGATTGTTGGTGCAGTGCGAGAGCATGGTGGCAGTGGAGGTGAAATTGAAGGAGATAGGCATCGAATACGTGCAGAGAACAGTGAAGGAGGGTGGAATATACGTGGATCAGTTGTTCTTTCATGACCCAGATGGCTTCATGGTCGAGCTTTGCAACTGCGAGAACCTCCCAGTAGTCGACCTCAACGGAGAGCCAATTGGAGGAGTGTGCTCGAGACGCATTTTCAAGCACCAGCAGCTTATTGCGCAACAGCAGAAGCAGCAACCACCACCATCGCCACCACAAATGGTTCAATGTACCCCTGCGATTCCCGTAAATGAGGACTTCCTCTCCTGTGCATGATTCAATCGAGAGAGTAACAGTAGAGTTTTAATCTTATTTCTGTAGGCAGCATTTTGTTTTTGTTTGTAATATGAATATGATAAGGACGGTCGTGGACGAAAATGAAAATCAGATTAATCTATTATCAACTCAAATGAATGAGCCAAACTCTTCTGTTTCTACACGGCACTGCTCTCAGCTCTGTTGAGTCTATTCGAGTATTGTAGGAAAATATCTTGACTTTGTCTCTTTGCGTGACACGTTCAAGGGGCACAGGACACGAGTCTGAATCATCTAAATAGTTGCAGTAAGACTCTGCATTTGACAGCTACCCAGATGCCGATAACAAGAGTACAAGATGTACAACTGGAAATTATCCAGGCTATCCTGGGCGGAGCGGCCAGCATGAGCCGAAAGAAGCGTCTCAAGACTACGCAGGTGGGATTTAATGGAGGATTCCGGCTCCGGCGATTCTGCATAGACGTATGGTGAGGTAATAGGACGCCGGAGCCATCAGGAAAAAGAAATTCTGGACAAACGCTGATGGACAACGTTAGTAAACGTAATAGAAATAAATGGGTTAACGAAGTTAATGGCATATATAGTAAGGTGGATAGTATGGTTGAGTTGTTTTCATTGGTGGTTGATTTTTTCAACCACGATGTATCGACTGATGTAAATGTGTATATATATGTATTTTCGCTATTTAATTTTAATCATAGGGTCATTAATATTAAAACGCTTTATGGAAAGAAAAAGCACAAAAAATGCAACTTTTTTGCCGTTTTCTCAAAATTTGATATGAGAGTCTGATGTAAAGGTTTAAAAATTCGATATATATATCGGGTCACATCGGTAGTTTCCCGATACACCTGCGAGTTTCGGATTATAGCTTCGTTCATGGGGTAGAGCGGTGTTAAACCAATTAAAAAACTAAAAAATATGAGAAGCGAGCCACGGTACGGGCCGATACACCCATTTTGAACCTTGAGTGTAATTTTATAAAAAAATTGACAAATGGTCTCTGTTGATACGTACGTGAGATACGTTATATAACTGCCTTGTCATGCTTAAATAGAGAAATATAAAACAAAAAAAGAAGATATAGTGAAAACATGTTTCGTGGTGAAATGGGATCTGCTCCTCCTCATATATAGAGTGAGTTTCACACTGACCTTACAGTCACATCGCATCCTGAAACCATGTATGGTTAGTTCGATCTAAAAATTAGAGTATATATCAGAGATACAGACTGCGAATTAGATGAAACACGAAAGCAACAACAAACTGAAATTTTTGTTTAGGCCTCATTTGTTTGCACTGAATGGACGTGGAGGTATAGAAATATAAATTTATATATAGACATCCCAAACTTTTTATGATGCAACATTCGAATATGAAAAGATTTCTCTCTTAGTGGTTCATATGTTCATCCATCTACTCTAACATGTGTTTTTATAACTTGTTCTAAAAATGACTGACACTTTGATAGACATGTTCATGTCTTTTACCTAAAATCCTTTCTCTTTCTACCACCGTTGTCTCTCTTTTGCTTCTCTTTATTTGGTTTAGCCAATTTAATGCATGTTACTAGCAAATCATTTTCTTTTCATTTTTATTCTTTCTTTTTCTATTCATCTAAAACAATATTCTCTTTTAAGGTGCGACCGCGTATTAAAGTACCTCTTATAGTTTAAACTTTAGACATAATTTTTGAAGGCCATCAACCGAACCCAAGGCAAACACATCCTTGACCCAGTTCAGAGAGATTGCCAACCATCCTATTGTTGCTGGTCAAAATCGTCCTCACCAAATATCTATAAGGGAAGTTGTCAGCTGGAGGGTTTCGTCAAAGTGAACGTGGATGGAGGGGGGGCATGCTGTCTACGGAAAGCGGGAGGTGGAGTGATTTTTAGAGATGATAGAGGACATATTTTTCTCTTTGCGAGAGCTCTGTTCCTTTCGCCCCTTGTTCTCAAGAAATGGCAGAAGCCCATGCATTTCATGAGGGCCTTAGGATGGCTCATGAGCTTCATATTTCATACATGAGAGTTGAAGGGTTGAGCTTGGCTAATTTTAAACCACCATGGCGTATTCGATCTCTCATTGCTCACTGTACAAGACTTATAAGCATCCACGACAACTGTGTGATTAGTTACACGCCTAAGAATTATTGTAAGAAAAAAAAGTCAAACACCGTTGTTTGGGTTGATGGTTCAACCTTCCTGATCAATGGGTTGCTGATTAAATCAATGGTTTTTGCCCCAAAAGAAGTTTTATGGTGAAACGAAATTGGTTATTTGACCAATTCCCATTTTTTTCTAGTCTGATCTGGTTTTTCAAAACCATGATCACAACAGCCTTTGTAGTTCTACATTGGGGACATCTTGCGATGGAAGATAAGGGAGAGGTTACTAGGGGTGGATTTGAGCCGAGTCAAGAAGAATAGTTATCTATTTGAGCTTGGCTTATCAAGACAGTATGAGACTTGAGTTCAAACTTGAGCTCGGTTCGAGTTAGAGACTTGAGCTTGAGTTCGGCTTGAGTCAAAAGCTCATAAGCTTGAGCTCAACTCAGCTCGAGTTTGACTATGAGTCAAATGCTTTATAAAAGTGTATGTATATATAGAAGCTCGATTAGACTTGTGAGCCTCACGAATCGAGCTCTATTAGGCTTGAGTTTAGCTCGATTAGCAAACGAACCTATAAATTGGTTCGAACTTAGCTCAAAACTTGATTTAAACCAAGCCTAGATAAACTTTTCACGAACCGAACTCGAACGTCTTATAAAAAGCTCGACTTATTACCACCCCTAAATGTTACCAACGCTTGGCTGCAAAGGCTGTTGTGGTTGTTGGGACCTTCTACTGAAATTACAACTGGTCTCCAAATTCTGTTGGGAGGGGGGAGGGTTTCTTTTCTAAAACCTAATATGAAGTGATAGGAGTAATTTTACAATGAACAACCATAAGGTCCATGCCGTTGAACAATTTCGATTACCAACTATGCAGGTGTATTTAATTTTGTAAAAGTTGTAAGTAAAACTATATTATAAATATAAAGGGTATTTTAGTAAATGAACCTTTATGATATTATTACATTAATTATTCGTATATTCAAACAGCTCAATTGCATTTAGAGGACAAAATCAAACTTTGGCTAGCCACACTCAAAATTCGCTTTCTCGCACTTCAGAGTTCAGTTTTACACCAAATACCACCCTAGTCAATAGACAAATGGGGTAGGCTTAACCAGCCCGATTACGAGACCCTCTTATGCATGCGCAATATATTCTAAGAAATGAATCAGTTTTCAAAGTACTTTTCCTTTAATTTGTTGTATTATTTGACTGTAATTTGGAAAAGGAAGCTTGAATGATTGGAACAAGCACGGCTCTCGTCAGATTTCAATGGAAGAGCTGGACCCCTTTTTCAAAAATGACTTGCGGAGATACGCTTATCCGTCATGACAATTCATTTTTGTCTAGTGGCTCGTTTGCATGTGTTTTACATGGGGGCTGTGTTTGGTTGCACATTAACGCAAACGGTTTCCTTGGAAAATGATGTTCTACAGAAAATCAAATCATAATCCTAATTTTCAAGTGTTTCACTTGAAAAAAAAAAAAACTTTGAAAAGGTGAAAAATATACCAGTGGTGCAAGCTATGAATCAAAGAGATTAATCTTTGTTTGGAAAATGATTTATAGAAAATAGAATCAATGCCTTTCCTATAAATTAAATAGTACTCAATTATTTTGGAAAATATTTGTTTTCAATGGGCATCTCAGCAGGGGTGGAATTAGGATTTCTTCCCTAAACATGGATAGGGGGGGGGGGGGGGGGGGGGGGGCTAAAATATAAGTGGGATTCATTTAAATGTATATTATGGGGATTTTCAAGGGATGGGGGAGGGGGTCATGGCTCCCCTTTGCCATCCCCCTATCTCTGCCTCTGCATTTCAGGTGCAACCAAACACCATAAATTAGCAAATTTGAAGAATTCTTCTTCATTTTACATACAACTAAATGGAGCCCAAAGTTGCATTTAGTAATTCATTTTACATATAACGATATAAATTATTTTCCATGTTTTTCATATGTTTGAGTTCTTTGGGTAGATAATAGTTATTCAGCTGAAAAAGGGCTAAACAAAGTCCAGATAGAAGAGAAAAAGAACCAAAAACTCAAGAGGACCTGACTCTCTTCCAAGATAAATTAATTAGAAGGAATTCGTTTATCTTTCATAGGCGGTTTTTATATGATGTCAAACACTATAAAATGACTTTCTACCAAAAAAAATAAAAACTATAAAATAGCATTTTCCATGCAAATTATTTGTTTTTATTCATTTTAACTACAAATTAATAAGTGGAGCCTACAAATACCCATTAATTACGGAGGTTCTTGGTAGGTTCAGTGTTTTCAAAACCAGATCAGACCAGACCAGAAAAAACTAGGACCTGATCGGTTCCATTTCACCCCCAAACCCCTATTTGGCCCAAAACTGTTGATTTGGTCTGTGAACCACTGAGCCAGAAAGTCAAACCGTTGATCTAGACACTATTTTATGGTCATTTTTTATTTATTTATTTATTTTTTTTGTCAGAATAGGCCTTCCATTTGGTCCAAACGGTCAGACCGTTCTTCCCTTGACAATGAAAATGAGAGATCACCACAGAACATGGTGGGTTCAATTATATTTATATAGTAAAAACATTGAAACTGTTCCATTTCAGATGCATAGCATCAACTCGTAAGGAAACATAAAAAGAAAGATGTCAATTTTGGCCAACTTATTTTGGTTTATTGTTGATTGAATCAATAGTAGTAAGCGATGCAAATATGCAGTAGTTGGGTGAGACATAGGCCAGAGTTTCGTTGTTGAATGATCCAAAACATGCAAGCTGTTGAGAGCTTTTGTTCTTTTGTTGCCTACTATCTGAGTTTGTAAGGCTTAAGCTAGTAGTTCAAGGGTCTGAAAAGGTATGGCTATCTGAAGATGGGTTACATCACAGCATCTCCATCTTTCTCATCAAAGACAGTGTCAAGATTCAGCAGTTAGTGAACAAGGTACTTTGAGTCATGGAGGTGGATAAGGTTGAGAACCTTGAGATAGTCCATGTTTGCTCTTTTATTTTGGGGGTAAATTGTTGAAATCTCCTCTAAAGTTTCTGATTATTGCTGAAGTCTTCCCTGAAGTTTGGTAATTGCAATCACCT